CCCCAAAACCCCAAAACCCCAAAACCCCATGCGTTAAGATATAATTGGAGTGAGGTGAGTAAGCACCAACACAGATATTTGGGAATATATTTGAAATTATCTGTAAATACTAATATTATAATCACATTAAATAGATCAATATAAGGTATCTTTATACACAGCTTTAACTCTGAACTTAGATTATTTAATTATATGTCACAAGAAAGATTGCTAGGTGGAGCTAATGACCACCCTGGACTTTAATAGGAGCCAGCTAAAAAGAAATACGTACCTTAGCCAATCAATCAGGATTAGGTAAGTCACATTTTAAAAAAAGATATATCTCATTTATTTATGACGAATGGGTGCACCAAAAACATTTATAGAGGAATAAAGCTAGAGAAGTAATCAAGGAAAACCATCCACTCTCTGGTACATAGACTGAAAAAGTTTTTCCAGTATTAGGGCCAGTTGCACGACTATTCAGAAAACAATAAGATGAGAGCAATGTACCATTAATTGATGCTGAGAATCAAAAATCAGATGGAGGAAAAAGATCCCCCAAAAAACAGGTAAAATTATCTTAAGACATGAAGGATGACCCATTTAACTTCCTTGGTTTCGGTATGGTTGCTTACAGAGATTTGATGCTAACTCTGGTGATCTTATTTACATTTTTGACAATTGTTATGACTCCAGTCATGGTAATTTACAGCAAACACACAGCTATTCAATAACCAAAGAGCTGGACAAATTTATCTTTAGGTAACCTGGGTTATACCTCATCTCAGTGCCAAAGAATTCCTTTTGACTTGAAAAAGGTCACAATGTTCTGTCCATTTGGACTTATCACTGATATTCACTATCTTGGTATCAATCCAGATGGTATTACCGATAGAGATTCTTGTATCAAAACATCTCAAAATCAGATTTGTTTTGATCACATAAAACCTGAATTTTAGGTATCTCTTTAAACCATTGCCCAGCAGAAGGATAATAATGACATGAGTTAAGACTTTAAAGATACAGAGATCTTTAAGGATCCAGCATCAGTTCCAGCTTAATGCAAAAATACTAATGCCTAAATTTATGTATAGTACTCCTGTGAGTAGCCTAAAGAATTGCTTGAAAGAAAGTATAGAGAGTTATCCTACGTCTCATGTCTTGGAGCATTCGCTGCTTGTGTTTTTAGTATTGTTATCTACTACTTCAAGAGAACTAGCAAACTAAATCAAATTGATTGGGATATCTAGACTATCACACCAGGTGATTACACTCTTCACTATGAAATAACTGACGAAGCTTATAATAACTTCCTTTCGACTATCTACTCATAAAATGGTGACGAAGAGAAAGGTGTCTCAAGAGGAATGAGCCTGAAAAATTACTTAAGAAAAGAAATTGAAGCTATTCTTACTGAGAAATTGCAATAAGTTAGAGCAACAAACCCTGAGGAGTGTAAAAATATCAAAATTTCAACAGTTAAAATTGCTGATATTGCATTCTCATTCAATAATGCTGAATTGATTTCTCTTCTCAGAGAAAGAGGACAACACATAATGTATCAAAGATTCGATAAGATGAGAGAAGCAGAAGCAAAAATTTCAGAGCTTAAGGATAGAAGATTCATAGATTTAACTAAGCCATGTGATGCCTTTATCACATTTGAAGAAGAGGATAGTAGTATCATCGGTTAGAAATTTGAAGCTTAATACAACTTTGCAGGCAAAAGAAAGCCAGCATAGTAAAAACTGTTAGGTGAGGAATTCTTCTTATCTGAGTGCACTGAGCCAACAAATATAATCTGGGAAAATAGGCATTGGACTTAACGTGACTACATAAAGAGAGGTACTATTGTCTTTACCATTATAACTTTCCTCATCATTATCTCATTCAGTTTGATCTTCTTCAGCAAATCATTCTCTATAAGAATCTTCAATAAATATCCAGCTGTAGAGTGCGATGTAATTCAAAAGAGTTATACAGTGAACAAAGTTGATATGCTTCCACAATATGCTTAAAGAGAGTTTGACGGCTTTTACAATAGTGGAGAAGGCAAAGAACCTACTCCATTATCTGGTGCTCTACAATGCCACTGCGAATAAATTAAGAAGAATGGAACAATCAGCCTATTGAGTTACGCTTCCCCAAATGGAAGTAAAATCTGCAGATAATACTATATTGACTATTGGCTTAGTTTTATATCAAGTAGTGCAGTCCAATATATGATTATTGGTATCAATTTCGTACTCAGACTTGTTATTATCAAATTAATCATATTCATTGGAAAGGACACTGAATCAGAGTAGACAAAATTAATTACAAACGGTGTCTTTGTAGTCTAATTCTTCAATACTGCTTTTCTTTTACTTTTAGTCAACGCAAATATGACTGAGTAAGCAAAGTGGCTAGGAATTTTCTTCAATGGAAGAATTGGGGATTTCAACACTTACTGGTTCAGTGATATCGGAAAGACCTTAATAGGTGCTATGCTTTTCAACATCTACTGGCCAATATTTGAAGTCGGTATGTGGTATGGATATAGACTATTCTTTAGGCTTTGGGATAAAGGATTCAAAACCTGCAATGACAATGTAACAAAGAAAACAACTGTTCAGCAGTATGTTGAACTTTACAGTGGTCCAATCTTCTTCATCCATTACAAATACTCCTCAATTCTTAACATTACTTTTGTGACAATGATGTACGGATTAGGAATTCCAGTCCTATTCCCGATTGCTGTATTCTCATTCTTTGTACTTTATGTAGTGGAGAAATCTATGGTCTATTGGAGTTATAGACTTCCTCCTATGTATGATGATAAATTGAACAATAATGTCCTTTCATTAATGACTTATGCTCCTCTATTATTCTTATCTTTTGGATATTGGATGCTTTCAAGCAAATAACTATATGGCAATGATGTTCAATATTTAGAAAGTGCTAGTGGGGCTCCAAAGACCGGCCATGTATGGTGGGATTTCTTCATCCCCAATGGTTATCAGTCAGGTCCAGGTCTTCCATTGATCATCTTCTTCTGGATATTCTTTTTCGGTACACTATTTAGAAATCAAATCTACAAATATCTTGCAAGATGGTTCCCTAGATTCATAAAGGTAGGAGATATTGAAATAGATGAGAATCTAGACAACTACTTCAAAACAATTGACGATAATGACAGAAAATGGAGTATTACTGAAGAGGAGAATGCAAGATCAGCATATAACCTCAAAGTACTTCAGGATGAAACATTGTAAAAATTCAAGGATACTTAATTAGGAGACTCCGTAATGAAAGGAGTTCACTGTTATGATATTCTTGCAAACCCACTCTATCTCGATGACTTCCAATACTTCTCACCTTCAATGGAAGATAGAGAAAAATACATTATTGATGACGATGATGATGAGGGCAATGATACCGCTCAAAGTGACTTAGTAAAGCTTATTCTTAACTTAGCTTTCCTAACAGAGAAACAAGCAAGAGAATTCACATTCTCCAAGAATGCTTGTAAGAATCAATAGATTGGTGGATCAATCAACTGATTACCTCTTTATTTCAACTTCAAGATATTTTATTCTCAACATTTATCCTACTCTCTAAATTTTTTTATTAGGCATTCTTGGGGTTTTGGGGTTTTGGGGTTTTGGGG